AGGGTGAATACATCTCATTAAAATGATTTACCTTTAGTCTCGAAACCCTACTTTCTTACACTTATTTTTTGTTTACAAGTCCGTTTTCAAGGCTGGTCTCAGTCTGCTCAGCAAGAGTCTGGGAATTGAGTTGTTATTTGACGATATAATCAAGACGCCATTGTAATTGCGGTGGTTCAATCTGCCACACCTTTAGTTGAGGGAGTCATAGTTATTGTGACTCTGTGAGACTTATTCAATGTGGAAACAACTCCAATATTACTCCTTAAATTCCTTTAAGCGACTCGGGCTGACAATATTCATCTCATTTTCGAGAGTGGATAGCAAAGGGGCAAAAGAGCGATTATTGTGTTGTTGCCTTGCTTAGTCGACCTCGGGCACGACGGCCAGAGGGCAAGCCAATGCAGCCAAACTCGGACTGTTTTCGGTCTTGCAGCCGTTCAACTTGCCGGTTGAAATCGATCACTTGCCGCTGTTCTTGCCGGCCATCCCGTGCACCAGTTCAGCGAATTCGAGGCTGAGTCTGAGACCAGATCCTCGAACGAAGCCGTGACCGAAATTGAAGGCTGAGTCTGAGGCCCAAATTGAGATTCAGAATCCAAGTTTGAGGGCAAAGACAAAACTAAAGCTTAAGTAGCATTTGGACATTGAATCAGAAGCCGAAACTGAAGCCAAAGCCAAAGCTTTAGCCGTAGTCGAAGGCAAAATTTTAATCCGAAACAGAAGCTCAAGGCCAAATCCAAAGTCAAAGCAGAAACCGTGACCAGAGGTCGAATCCCAAGCCGAAGCTGGAGGTCAAATCAGAGGCTGAAGACTAAATCTTAAGTCGAAGCAGAGACTCCGAAGCCGTATTCGGACGTTGAATCCGAGGCCGAATCCAAAGACAAAGCCTCATTTGAAAACGAAGTCACAGCTGGAGGCAGGAGGTCAAATCAGAGGCCTGAGACTAAACTTAAAGTTGAAGCAAAAGTCGTGATCGGAGGTCAAATATAAAGCTGAAGCCGAATCCAAAGCCAGGGTTGAAGTTGAAGCTAGAGCAGGAAGCAGAAGCCATGGCCGGAGGTAGAATCCGAGGCTTAGAGCGAATGCAAAGACTAGATCGAAGCCGATGCTGAAGATGAAACAAAAGGTTTGACCCGAGACCGAAATCAAGAGATCAAATTCGAGGCGTAAGTCGAACCGAGGCTGAAGTCGAAACTGTAGCTGGAGGCCTAACAAGAGTGGCAAACTCAGAAGTGAACCCGGGGCCGAATCCAAAGTCGAATTCGAAGTCGACATCGAATCTGAGACTAAAAACAATAGACCAAATCCGAGCTCGAATCCGGAGTTGCTGCCAAATTCTAGACCAAAGCCAAATCCAAAGTCGTGACCGGAGGGCTGAGATGCGCTTAAATCTGCCCGACTATGTTGTTGACGCCAACGTGCTGGAGGCCGTACGTCGCGACAACGTCGGCTACCTGAAGGGGCGGGTGACCCGCGACCCCTGCTGCCTGGCCTATCTGTACTTCGCGAAGACGGCAATCGGGACGCCCGGCCGGCCGACTCGGGCTCGCCGCCGACTCGAGTACGCGGGTCGAATGGGTCTGTTCGAAGGGGCTCTGCGGGCGCCGGTACACCTCGTCCTGCCACTGCTCGGCTACGCTCTGCTCTTCCAGACGCCGCGCATCCTCCACTACTTGCTCATGCAGCAGAAGAGGCTTGAGGCCGTCGAGCAGACCGGCTACTTGGCCGACGGGGAACGTCTGGAGCCACCGGGCGGCCGACGCTACCGTGTCCTCACTTTTCCGCTGCAAGCTCTGATGTTGCCCGACAACGCATTCTTCCGCCTCACACAGAACCACGCCGGCCTACTCGTATCGGCCGGCCAGCGCGTCTCCGTCACCCGACACGATGACCAACTTGCCGCCAATGGCGACGGCGACGGTCAGATCTGCCAATCACATGTCTTCCAGAACGCCTGGCATTTGGCCTGGCAGTACTACCGGCCGATGCGAGAGGACGCCCAAGAGCTCTGTCGACTTACCACAGCCTACCTTTGGCACAATGTGGAGCCGACCGGCCTGATACGCAAGGTCTGGCTGTACCGGCTGTTTGTGGACCGCTTCTCCTACCAGCCGAGTGGCTTGACTTTCGCGGAGCCCGCGAAAAAGCAGCTCGCCTACAGTTTGATGCTGAGTTTGCTCGTCTTCGGCTGCCGGCTAGAGGAGGCGAAGACACACTACAACGTCTTCAAAGGCCTAATGGCTCTGTTAACCAGCAGTGAGTCTGACAAGGAGATGCAGAGTCGGATACACAACCTCTGTCTAGGCTTCTTCGCCCTGTTGCCCAGTTTGCGCGGATTCGCCAGAGCCAAACTCGAGGTCATTCCTCTGTTGGTCGACCTGTTGGCCCATCCAAGTCTGGACAATTTGGCCGCGAAATGTGTCCGCGCCATACGTGACCTGTTGACCGGAAGGAACCTGGCCAGGGCTGTCATGTCACTTTGGCTCAATGAGGAGGTTGAGGCGCAGATTCTCACGGGATCTCGTGGAAACGATGCCCGAGGCTCGCTTTTGTTCTCTCAACTGAAGAGTCATGCTAAGATGGAATTCGGCTGCCGGATGAAGAGTTGACCAGCCGCAGAATCCCATTTTATACAACCCCGTCACAAAGCTGCCTGTATCAGATCCACGCTGATCTCTCATCCTGTTTGGCTATATTTCTCAGTTCAGTCCAAGATCCAGACGGAGGTGTGAACTCTTTGATTCTATTCACGCTCTTCATCAACTCCAAACCTGCGCAGGGGAATGGGCAGTTTTATTGCAAGTCAGACACGAGCGTACGTTAAGGCCCCTAAAAGACGCCCAAATTGCCCACTGGATCCTAGTCAGAGCAGTTTTCGTCAAAGACGGCAACTGCAAATGTGGTCTGATGAGATGTTTTGAAGCTGAGTTCTGAGTATGCGAATGACTGCCATCCTTCAAGGTCCACTTATATGCGTCCACAAGACGGTAATACAAATAATCAGGATCCAGTTGTATCATTACTCCATGCTTCAGTATGCCTTATTCTGTAGTAAACAGAAAAATGCCTGACGTAATGAAGAACAACTGTCAAATTATAATCTGCATCTCCTAATGATGTCTTCTACATCGTAGTAAGATCTGTTCAATTTGAGCAGTTAAGTTATCAACCCTTTGAGCAAATATGCTGCCCCAAAAGTAGTGCTAGCTTTATTGTTCCTGTCCTTGAATCTCAAAACCAGGGCGGGCAGCCAACTGCTGCTTTATTCCGGGTATATCACTCAAGACATCTTTTTATGTCATTAATTTATGCTAAAATCCAAATTTTAAGCCCATGAGAATAATCCTCAGACTGGTTGTATAGAATGCAAATGAGCTCCAGATGACAAATATATTTGATGCACTACACTCAAGAGTTGGAGGAGGCACGGTAGTTTGCCCTAGCTCAGGAGGGTTAAATTCACCCTATCAGGACGGTCAGAAATTAAAAAAGCTTTGTTAAGAATTGGAATCATTCTAGGTCGCATAAGTTGATGAAAAACTGGCAGTTAAGTTCTTACTACAATTACATGAATGATGCAATTAATTTTAACATGTACAAACATCGTAAAAGGCCATTACATTCAAAGTTGACTCCTTGTTTCGACCTCGCCCCGCCGTCTCTAATCCCCAACCGCAACGGTATTCGATACCAGGTCGTGGCCAGTGGCGACGTTATTAATTAACCAAACAGCCACATTTGCCGGTGTGACAGGGAAAATGTAGAATTTAAGGCAAGCCAATACTCATCTAACCCACATTCATAGTGTAATTTACGATTGAGCAAACATATATTTGTCATTGAAATCGATAAGGTCCCTTATTTCCGGTATAAGTAGGCTTCGAGACTTTCGGTTGCCGGCTCTTCAAATTTTATCTATCAGACAAGTTGAGTGAAAAGTAGTCGTGCAGATTTTACATCATAGCTTGCCAACTTTTCCGTCCCTTCAAATCTCACATAACTCATCATTTAAGATAACTCAGGAATTTTAGATGAATTTCTTAAGCATGCCCACTGCTTAGTACTTTTTCACTATTAGTCTCACTGACGACCCATTTTCATGTATCTCTAGTAATCCGTAAGTTGGTGATGGTCTTGAATTCTTACGTGAGAGCGAGTTTCCAGCTCCTCTGGTTATATTTGTTCCATTCAGAATGTTTTATAGCATATTCACAGTCTACAAAATTACTGCGAATACGCAGGAAACCAGTAGTCTCCTTTAACTCAACTTTACCAAGTTAATAACTCAGCAAGGGATTCGCCCACATCTTGAATGTACTTTACGGGCATTGCTCCGCTTAATCACTTCACTGTCTCACTGTCCCTATTCTGCAATCTCGAATCGAGCATCATGGCAATTTCCATTAAATGTTTCCTCTTTCTAAACAATGAGGGACGGACATTCCATGCATAATTGGTGGTCTGAAAAGCCAGTTTTGATAGTTCTAAACCATTTATGTAGCTATGTAAATAAGTTACATGCTGATGATGGCTCAGCTAAGGAAATAAGACTTTCACAGGAATGAGATCCAGCTCTGGTGATGTCCATCATATGATGGAAGAAAGCTCAGCCCGCTTTTACCTGCAACGAGGGAGGTCTCGTGGAGTACGTCAACCTGAACGCCAAATAAATGATGTAGTACAACGGGATTCATCGGTCCTCTTCTAGTGAGATAGACATATGAATCTCCTCTTTATGCACTTTAATGCGAAATGAAAGTTCACCCAACAAACATATTGAGCAGATTATCTTAAGAGTTGTGGATTCAGCGTCCATGATAACTTATTAAGAAGCACGAAATGGTCTCCGATGGACCATCTGATTGCTAGACTATTACTAGCATACGGTTGGCGGGCAGAAAGCATTGAGACACGGAATTAAGTATACTTATTATTACTTGATATCAATTATCCTCTAGGCCTGAGCTAAAGCGACGATATACTAAGGCCGGGAAATAAGAAGCCTGAGGACTATCCGCCTAAAATTTTTGAAGTAAATGCAATATTGCAAGGGAAATCTACTGCTGCTTAACGATGGGATCAAGCAACAAATAACTTGGCCACAAACCACATAGGCCAGTGTAATAATTTGCTACTAGCAGCACTGAAACTCCATAACACTTAAAGTATAGCATATTAACGTTAGTTCTAGCTTGGAAAAGTTCAGAACGCACTTAAAATCAAGTTTAGTATCTCCGCCTAATCCGACTGTGTTCAGGAAGCGATGCTGGCAAGATCATAATTAGCTGTGAGATAGTTCACCGCAAACATGAGGCCATCGGTATTGATATTAAATGTATTTCTTTACTTTGCTGAAGATAGGAAGCATGTACTAACGAATAAGACATAATTATAGACAAGTGATAAAAGCGCATGAATCCCCCCGTATGCCACGTGAAGGCCTGAGGTAAGACGAGCTTAGGAATCTTACATTATGGTTTAACTTATCCTTTAGTTAATATTTAATCATGTAAAATCGATGAAAACAGTTCTTAAAAGAGCGGACAGGAAAAATTCCTCTTAGAAAACCGGAGTTCGTGTTCATGTCGCAATGAAACCCCTGCATTTAATACACCATATTGCGAAAATGAGTGATGGAGATAAATGCCGTAAAAAATACATATATTGGAACTTTCAGTTCCCGCTGAAATTCACTACTAAGAAGTATAACATATCAATCAACAGCGACTGGAAATTATAATAATAAGAATCCCTCCTTGTATAGCAGTGAGAAAAAGGAGAAAGAGGTAGCACAAGAGAATGGAAATAATTGAATGTCGAGATAATTTTTAGGACGAATTTTAAAGATGGGGAAGCTGGAATTGATCCAATTATCCTCAAGAGAACAAGGCTGCTGTTT